ACATAGATCGCAAGTTGCGCGATGATCGACGCAGCTTTCGTGTACGGTAAGGTTGTTTTTTATAGTTGATTGGCAGCACTTTTTCCAATTGACAGATGGTTTCTCCAATTAGCAGTACTTTTTGTACACTGAAATCTATTCTAATAGGCCATTCAACGTACACTACTTACATATATGATGTTTCGATCGCATTTTATTATAATTTCATATTTCTTTCCGTTTTGCATATCACGCAGTTTGGCGCGCGCTGGCCCCCGCTCAGAACCAACCGCCTATGAGGTGGTCAAAATCGACGGCTGCTTCCGGCGGAGCGACGAGGCACCACGCGGCGTACGCTCCAATACGTTCAGCTCCAGCCTACAGCTAATAAGACGCACGCGTGGCCGTGACGATGCCATACCGCTACACACAATTAGCGGCAACGATATTGTAAGTGCCCAGACATTCACTAATATACATATGTATGCATATATTTAAACACATACATACACATATCTATATATGTGAGTATGCATATGCATAAGCATCACAAAATCTGTTCGATTGAATGAGCTATTCAAATTAACGACTGAACTATTACAATGTTCTATGAACGCTGCATTTGCTCTTTGCTCAGTTGGTCAAACGGTTATAAATAAGGAACATTTAGTTCAGTTGTTGACAAATGAACGACAAATCCAACCGCTACGAATCGTTCAGTGATCATAAGCGCGCGTCGTTAAGTGCAGTTAAATCGGTTATAAAGCTGTCATTGGCCGAGCTATTTAAACGGTTAAACGGTTATGAGCGAGACGTTTTGCTCAACTGTTTGAGAGCGGCTGTGCAGCTGTTGACGAGCGTTAAGTTCAAATGAACTGTTCAGCCGGGACAATAAGTTCTATTGAGCGATTTAGTTAATGTTGAGAAGAGAAATTGAAAAACAACTGCATAACAAGGACTAAATGCTGCGATAAGCACTGCAAAATATAGTTTATAAATATATATTAATGTATTCGTTTAATGTAATCCGTTCGTTCTGCAGGTGCTGACAGCTTGTGCGCGAATTATAAGGCCGCCAAAGATCGTGAATCGTCTGTTTGATGCGAACACGCTGGAGTATCGCACACGGCATTTGATCGATGGCCGCATTATAGATTGCGATCAAAGGATCGGCATTGTGGCCGGCTATATGACGGATGAGGTTCGCAATCTGAATCCGTTCACCTTCATGCACAACGACGATGTTCGCTGGGTGATTGTGGCGCTGCGGCAGAGTGAGTGGGCGACTGTTTGTGTGCGTGGGCATTTCGATTTCATTGAGAATTTCTTTCAGTGTACGACTGCAACAGCTCGTATGGCGAGTCAACGTATCGGCTCTTCACGCGCAACGGCAACATCATTTATCTGCAATCCAAAGGGTATCTGGAGATCGACAAGGAGACGAACAAGGTGCATTCGTTCGTCTGCGTCAACACGCTGCTGGACGACGAGGAGGGCAAGCGGCGTGTGCAGGAGATGAAGAAGAAATTCTCGGTCATCATCAATACACAAATCCCGCAGTCAACCGTCGATGTGCCCGCATCCGAGCATCCAGCGCAGCTGGAGAAGGCGGTGCTCTGCCTGATACAGAACTTACAGAGCAGCCAAGCGGAACAGAATGGCGAGCAGCTAGACGCAGACGATGATGATGACGATGCTAATGATGATGGGGATGAGGTCGACGACGATGATGGCGAGGACGGCCTGGCGAGCCTGGCCGCCTTGAGCTATCCAGAGTCCCAGCAGCAGCAGCAGCAACAGCTGCAACAACAACAGCAGCACCATCATCAACATCGTCATGGACATTCACAGCATAGCTTCCACGATGCCGGCTCCATGTCACAGGCACGTCTGGGCTCTGGCCATAGCATGGGCAGCTCGAAGACCCCGCCGCTGGCGCTGGTGCCGCCCGAGACGGCGTCGGTCAAGTCCTCCATATCGAAAAGCGTCAGTGTTGTCAATGTGACAGCGGCCAAGCATTTGCGCGGCCTGCAGGCCGCAACGGCTACCAAGTCGCCCAGCTCCAAGTCCGGCTCGACCTCGACGCTGCTCGACAGCTGCAACTGCAGCTGCCTGGGTGAGGGCGACTGTGACTACTGCCAGGGTCCGCTCACGCCCGAAACGGTCATCAGCGGCACGTCTATGCCGCTCAAGCGCAGCAGCAGCGGTGCACCGACTGCAGCTGGCCCAGCAGATGCCCTGGAGGCGGACATTAAGCTGGCCAAGCGGCGCTTCATGCCGAGCACAGGTGAGCACGATTTGGCATAGAATTGCCATATGTATATATGTGTATATGTTTATAATATTTCTCATTTTTGATTTCAGCAGACATTGAGCACGTTCTGAGCAATTCGTTGGAGCAGATCGAACGGAACCTGCACCAGCAGCTGAACGTGGCTGCCCAGCTGCGTGATCAGAGCAATCGATACGAGCTGCCGCATGCCAATCAGCGCATCGATGAGATCCTGGTAAGTTGCTGCCCCACACAATCGTGGGCGAGAAGAGCCGCTAGCTAAGCTCTGTTCTTCGTGTCCCCACAGGAGGAGCACCAGAAGCAGAGCAAGCTCTACGTGAACATCAAGAGCGAATACGAGGAGCAGCTGCAGAGCAAGGCGAATGCCACGAAAACGGAAACCGATAGCCAGGGCAGCACCAGCAGCGGCATACCCTAAACGGGGCCATACCTATATAGATGTACCTATATATATATATACATACATGCACACATGCATACATATACGTATGTATATGAATTGAGGGTTTCAGCTGATGTGATAAGCAGCGAAAGCGAGTTGCAGCTTGACTCAGATGCACAGGCAAAAGGCAAAGGCAACTTTCGTCGAGCAACTCTTACAAGTGTTACAAAGTAGCTAGAAGAAAATGCTTTCTTCGGCCCACCGAAGTTTGAATACCCTTGTGGACACAAGGCCAGAGTCTTTGTTGATCATATATACATATATGTGAAGACAATTGAATGCAGCCTCAGCTGAGTTTGGCAAACGGACTAATTGCTGAACATATAGATTATACATATATCTATATATAGAGAGAGAAAGAGAGAGCGAGAGAGAGAGTCACTCTGCAAGGGTAAAACAAAGGCAAATTGATGTACTTTAAAGTGCTAACACAAACCTATTTACAAAGGAAATGCGTATAGGGATCTTTGATGCTATATATAGATATATATAGCCACATATAGATGTACAGCGATAAGTGGAATCGAACTAATGAGTGAGCATGCAACAAAAACCTATTTTAGAAAGGAAAAGGGTCCTGGACTCGCCCAGCGGCAGATTTATTCTTACTTTTTGTTTCTTCTTATTTTAATTCTTGATAACTTTGACTATAACGTCTTTTACGTAAATGTGTTATTTTTTTTATAAATGTAATTTGTATGTAGGCGTCACTAAAGTAAATAGTTAAAAATATATATAGTGCAAGAAAGTGTTTGTTAATTTAAAGTAAATTTATAGTCACACACACACACACAATACAATTATTAGCTATACAATTTTATAGTATATATATATATAAATATCTTTATGTATCTGTATATACATATAAAGATAAACTACAAACTAAACGTGATAAAAGACTGTTACCAATTAATGTTA